CCCTGCATTAACCAAAGCTTCCATTTGATCGACGTCATGAAGCGCACCGATCAGCTCATCAGAACCAGCTTTCAGAGTCACCCAACCCAACTCATTGGGCTAGTTTCACATGCCCAACTGACGTGCGCGTGTGTCTGACATGCACTGCTGCACTCCCAACTCACTTCTCTCTCACGATTTGCGCTCTCAAGGCACCTCTGGCTTACAATTGAGCTTCCTTAGTCGTTCTCGCATGCTTAATGCGTTTTTAACGTCAATCCATGTGCTTTTCTGGGGGACACACACAAATTCATGTGCATGCTTAGATATTTGCGCTCACACATCTCTGGTCTTTTCTCAACATGTAACTCACATGTTGATGACATTCCAGACATGTATTTGCATCGTCTAGGCCTTACCAACTACACGTAACATGACTCAGATGAACATGACTCAAAAAGCCAACGTTGTATCAGCTCGACAGTCATGATCTCCCTCAGGACGATCCTCTCTCTGGTTCTTACAAACTATTGGGACTTGCCTGGACGCGCTGGAATTGGAGAAATGACGTATTTACACGTGATGGATACAATTACCTGCGGTCTCAACCTGTGACTGTTGCAGATGATCACCCTTGCAGGTGGATCTCTGCTGACAAACTCATCATCTCGTGTCCTGGAGACGTTTTCACCACATCGACTCATGGTCAATTGTGCGGCCTCCACCATCCATCCTTTACCTGAACTGATTCGCTGATGCCAATGCATCGCCGGCTGCAGTTTATACTCACTTCTTATTTCCTGCCGGCCACGTCGACTCCATTCCCAGCACCAGCCACACGATTCCGCGACTCTGGCGACTTCTTCTGACTTCGGCCCCTCACCATCTTCAACTCTGACTTCAACAACCCCGATTCATCATCGTTCTCGAGGCCAGACTAAGCGCCATCCGATTCTGCATCGTTGTCAGGGCACACCTGCTTGACCCGGCCCCACCTCACCCAGTGCCCCACCATCCGCTCCTCCCAACCTCCCCCCTCTCCCCCTTTTTACTCTTCTCTTTCTTCTCTTCTCTCTCTTCTCTTCTCTTTCCTCTTTATTCTTTTCTTATCACACAGACGACTTCCTTTGTATCAATGTACCATTGACCTGGCTGCAGTGTAACGCGCCCGGACCCGGGCACACTGGATGACCTCCCACACACCGGATGCTCCTGGGACCTCTTACGGAGGTACCCGGATGGATGTGGCAGTGTGCATAGATGACGTGGCACTTCCCACATGGCCTCAACCACATGTATATAAACACAGCCTAAGTGGGAACTGAGAAGCAACCTTCTTCTCACACTTCCCACTTAGGTTGTGTTTATGTACATGCGGTTGGAGGTCACGTGGGGAGTGCCACATCATCTACGCGTACAGCCATGTCCGCCTGGGTATCTCCATAAGAGGTCTCAGGAGCATCCAGTGTGTAGGGCGTCACCCAGTGTGTCCGGGTCCGGGCGTATTGCGCAGCCTGATTAATGGTACATCGAGCAAGGAAGTCATCCGTGTAGTAGAAAAGGAAAGAAGGAAGGAAAAGGGGAAGAGAGAAGGAGAGAAGGGAGGAGGGAGGATGGGGGCAGCGGGTGAGGAAAGTGGGATCGGGTGAGGTCGGACCAGGTGGAGTGGGGTCAGGCGGGTGTGCCCTGACAGTCGGTCCCTGACAGTCGTCCAATGTCGACGTGCATGCTGCCAACTGCGACAAATCTCTGCTGTGCTGCCATCTAGAATGTCAATGTTACTTTCCCCCCTGGCTCCAATGCATCCTCTCCATTCCGCATTGTCACTCTCACTGTCGACATGCCTGTCGACATTCATTTACCATTGGCTGCATCGTGTCCGGCTATATGCTGCATGTTGCAGTTTATTCATGAGCTGACACAACTGGGGTGTTCCCCTGGTTCTTAGTACTGCTGCTGCCATGGTCCTGCATGCTCCCTGGGTGCTTAACTCATCGACTTCCTGCATCCAACCCAACCTGCATCCATCTGAGGCGACCACACTGTCAGGGACAGCTCCGAAAGCAGTGAGGTCCCAGTGTGCGGGACTTGGTGGGACGAGTAGCGGCTGTGTGTAGCAGTGGTCTCATCGTGGGGTGAGCGTCCCTGACCACTTAGTCTGAAGTGGGAATGTGAGTTATTATTAAAAGGGAAGGCTACACTACTTGCCTGAAGTGGGAATGTGAGAAGAAGGCTACTTCTTCGGTTCCCACTCCAGCTGTTATTATATACATGCGGGGTCGGTCATGTGGGGCACGCCACATCACCCTAGCACACAGCCACGGCTCTCTGGGTGCCTCCATGGGAGATCCTGAGAGGGCCCACTGTGGGTGTGGGGCGTGTGTGGCGGCGGTGGCAGCAATATAGGAACGGTGAAATACAGGAGGGGAAATGGGCATGCGTGCCCGTGATACATTGAGCAGTGGGAAAGGTGGTCCATGTGAGAAAGAAAGAAAGAAAGAAAGGAAGAAAGGGGGAAAGGAGAAAGGAAGAGGGAGAAGCGGTGCGGAGCAGGGGAGCGGAGCGAGGGTCGGGCAGGGCATGCCCTGACACACACCTGGTGTGTCACCACTGAAGTCAATGTATCCTCCTTTCCTCCAATGTATGCTGTGCACTGCATTGCCGTCTTCAACATTGACCTGATGTTCAACTCTTGTCTGTCTCCAATGCATTTGCTATGCATTGCGGTCCTGTTTTCGACATCAACACATTAATCAACACCTCCACCTCCACTCCTGCCTTCACTGGCCTCCCTTTCCTACATCTTTCCTGCCACTGTGCCCAAGAATTCCTGTGGACTTTGACTAAGTCTGCCTGTCATCGAGTCTGCGTGCACTCTCGGTCTTCAAGCACCTGTGCCAATCTTATGGTTTGGTCCATTCCCATTCCAACTGGAGTTCTTTGAGAACACCTATGGGTTGCTCTAAGGGGAGAGTGTAAGGAATGGATGATGCACGCTTGCACGCATTCCCTTTATTCATTATTCTATGATAATCTTCGGACTAAACAATGTAAAACACCTGTATGTACATATATAGCATCCGGGGTCAGGAAAAGGAGCTTTGCTCTTCTCCTCCCTCCCTGTCAAATACTAGCTCCATACAGTCTATGTTCTTGACAGCCTGAGGATTGAGGAGTCACCAAGGCCAGCACCCCAACTGGCCTTACAATATGGGGTGTATGATTGTAAGATGTTATGATGGTTGTGAGTATCGCCTCACAGTCCCAGTCCGTCAGAGATACGCTATAATAGGCTGTATAATCAATGGGGGAGTAAAGGCTGTAAAGCCTTAACTCGCCCGCATGCAAGGTTTATATGTATACAATGGGGAAGAGCACATGCAGCCTATGCAGCTTGCAGGGTCTCTGAGTATGTACAATAATGTAGCGCTGTTGCACATAGTTACAAACTGATTATAGTATACTACTAGAATGGCTGCTGCGCTGCCCTGACCTTGCTTGCAAGACCAGGTTCTGTATGTGTGTATGGTTTGCAGGCACAATTCATTCACAGGATTGAATAATAATTGGGGCAATCAGCGGAAGAATAGACATTGAATATAACTATGAGATGCAACAAGCATGTAGAGTTAGAAAGATAGCCAGATGGCCGCATAAATATAGGATCCGAAAAACAAAGAGGGTATGAGTGAACAGTGTGTTGTTCATGAATAAATATGGCCTGTCCATACAGTACAAGATTAAGGAGTGTAGGAAGAGGAGGGAGTCCGCCGTCGAAATGCCCTTGAATGTGGCATTGATACATGGCATTGATGTGTATCGGTTACCTATTTACGTTTTTGCCGCTTTGCTGGGGAAAACGAAGGCCCCACATATAATCGCTTTGTGGGAGAGCCGTTCTCCGCTCAGTAACTTGGCAGCGCCTCAGGTTCCTTCAACACAATGACTTCACCAATGTTTGCTGTGAAGGTTGCATGCTTTCCTTCATGTCCTCCAATTAGATGGCAAGACAAAGTGAATGAGATTTGAACCGTGGATCCTCGGAGAGCACTTTCATATTGAACAATGCATCAAAGCTATGGAGAGGGAAAAGGACCTTGCCTTCTCCTGACCCCCCCATCCAGATGAACCGGACTCCGAAGCAAAGTTCCGATCCATGGAGCGGTGTCTAATGAGGTCAAACCAGATACATTCCTGTAAAAAGCATCAGTGCTTGTGTCAAGATTGGACAACTGGGGAATGGAGGTGTAAGTGATGCGCACCGTTTGCACTAAGCGAGACAGACAGAGTAGAGGCGAATGGAGAATGGTACCCAAAGCAAACATACGGATTTGTCAACAACTTCAATCCCAATTTGCTGGTCTATCTTCGATGCAACCATGACATCAAATTGCTAACAAATGGAGAAGATACAAAAAACGTTTGTCGGTACATTACCAAGTATGCGACAAAAGCCCAATCAAAGTCTATCAGCATTGCTGGCTCGGAGGCACCAATATCATCTCGCTGATAATAAGTATCTTGACAATATTCGAGAGAGAAATCGACTCTTGGTTTTTCGATGTTTCATGACGGTCAATCGAAACGTTGAACAGTCAGCACCCCAACTAGTCAGTTACCTTATGGGATGGGGAGATGCATTTAAGTCACACAATTACATACCATTGTACTGGTCAACGTTTGCATGGCAGCTTCAAATTGAACACCCAGACTTGAGGAAATCATCGAGATATGATTGTTGTTTGATATCGGCTCTTGAAGTATACTTAAACTTAATTAGGATGTCAGAAAAAGACGCACCAAAAGAAGGGATGGACGATACAGAAGTCAGCGAAATGCTGCCTGACAGGAAGGATGAAGGAGAGGTAAATTCTCATTTAGTATGGCATTGGTTGATTAGTCACATTACCAATATTCCAGGATGACGACATTGATATCGAGCTGATGAGAGTAGAAGTGGCATCAAATGGGAGATTATGTGGGAGATCACAATTTGAGGATTATTCGCATCGAGGACATGAATGTCACTGCTTGAGTTCATTACCGATACATATGAGCAGAATGTTAGCCGACAAGAAACATCACCAGCGATTCAATCTGAAGTGGAAGGCACTCCAAGAATTGCCAAGAGTCGTGGTCATCCTGCAAACATCCGGAGCCCATACTTGGATTCGCATGGCAGTCATGACATAAAACTGCATATTGTTCGATCCTCTGGACATCGAACCATCGCAAATATAGTGGGTAAATGGTTTCCAAGGCAAGATGACGAGGACTGCACCGATATGCACCGTGCATCGATATTGTGTCTTCTAAAACCATGGAGAAATCTGTCAATGTTAAAGGGAGATGGTTCATGGGCATCAGCATATGAGCTGTTTGTACAACAATTGGAACCTAAGAAGGCAGCAATTATTGGAAATGCGCAGTTCTACCATGAATGCAAGGATTCGGCAATGCACACAGCTGTCTCACAAGTAGGCTCTTCAGGCCATGTGAGAGACAGTGATGAGGAGATGGAGGCAGGTGGGGAAGAAATTGGAGATAGGGAACCTATGGTGGGAGGTGACTTGACAGAGGCCAGTCTGGAAGAGTTCTTGCATGACAAAGCTTGGACTCGCAAAGTACTTCATGGCGAACATGCAGTAGAATGTGCAAGTGCAGCACAAGTGTTCAAGTCAATGTCGGACTCTTGGGACATGGAGGCAACGTTAACATCTGTTACACATGCGGACTTGGAGAAGGTTGCATGCTGGAAGGAAGCAATGAAACGTGGAGATGAAAGCACTGCAAGTGAAGGACCAGAAGTACAAAGAGATGATATAGGGAGAGTGGAGTCACTCACAGATAGGGCATACAGCTGTCGTGGAGGAGCAGATGGGGGAGTGGAACTTCTGAATAGTTCAGAAGCCTTTCGACCATCTGCTGCAGTTGACACATCCCATCTTCGGAAGGACCAACGAAGAGCATATGACATCATAACCACACATGGTCAGAATAACATCAATGGTGGAAGGGGAGAGCATCTCTTGATGTTGTTGTTAGGCAAGGGGGGAACAGGCAAATCTGTTGTGATTAGTATGGTGACATCGTTCTTCGAGGTGCAAGGAAAGGGAGACATGCTGGTGAAGGGAGCATACACTGGCATCGCAGCCTGTCACATTAGTGGACGCGCCTTGCACTCATTAATCGGTATGCCTCGGAGCAAACAACAGATGCCATCGTCCGAGCAGATTAAGATGTGAGCCAAATGGTGGAAAACATGGCGATATCTCATCATTGATGAATGTTCAATGATATCTCGCACAATTCTTGCCAAGTTGTCCACAATTCTTTCCCTAATAATGGGGGAGGTAATGGGCACACGGAAGGAGGAAGCATTCGGAGGTCTGAATGTGATCCTATGTGGAGATTTTCACCAATTCCCTCCTGTGAGAGGGGGAAAGAGAGCCCCACTATACTGGCCATCAGTTATAGGAGACAACACCGAAGAGGGTTTAGGAACAGCGCTATATAAATCGTTCGATGTGATAGTCATTTTAGAGCAAATGCGGGTGACGGATGCTAGATGGACAGACCTTCTTTGGCATTCACAGCATGGGAAGATACATGAAGATGACATACACCTGTTGAAGGGATTAGTTTTATCATCGAAGTCATGCCCACCAATGAACTTTTCAACAACACTGTCATATCCATACAATCCCGACCTCCGCTCTGGGCTCCCAGAACTCCGAACTCCGACTTCTGAAGCCCTACTCCCCTTCCGTCACCTTCTCCTTGCCGACTCCCAAGAGGTTATCCCACCTCCGGCTCCGACACCACCTTCGGTCCGACTCTGGAACATTCCAGGTCCGACCCCAACCTCGACACCTTCCAGATGAGTATGCAAAACCTATGCTCCCGACTCCGGACCTCCGCTCCGGAATCCCATCTCCATCTCCATCTCCGGAACCTCTGGTCTTAGCTCCGACCTCGGACTTTGACCCCACCTCCGCTTATACCCATTGTATTGGTTAGCTCATTCCATTTAATTACCTTTGCCAATATTCCGGAGTTTAACTTCCGAGTTCGGACTTTCTGGACTTACCTCGGACCTTGCAACTATTGCATTGTCCTATTCAATTCCGCTATTCTCCCTCATTCCTATTTGGGCTGCTGCTTTCTTTCTATTCAGTCAGCTAGCCATTCCCCACTCCCAACCTCCTTCCTTCCTCCTTGGGCCTTGGCCCTTCATTCCTCCTTTGAGAAACACCATTGAGTCAAACCCTTGACCCTCGGTGTTGTTCCTCTTTCCATCTCCCTTTGTCTCCTTTTGTCCTACCCTCGCTCCTTTTGATTCCGGACCCCTCCTTATATACAATGTACCTAGTAACTTGTAACCTCAGTCCGAAATCGACATGAATTCCCCCCAAGAGACTTTCCCTCTGCTAGATCCGAAATTAGGGACCCCTAGGACAACCAGCAATGGCACAGTGCTCCGCCTGAGTTGCTGGGGCCGAGGTCCTTCCACGCTAAGTCTCTGATTCCACTCCGGAGTTGTCCGAATCCACACGTTCTAACAAACACCCTGGATCGGTGCAAGCTTGGTTACACCTCATGTCACAGCCCCGCAAAGTCCCCGCCCCTCTACCACTTTCTGCACCCCCACCCTCGCACCGTTACTCGCACCCGTTAATCTCGCCATTGCCCATCACTTAGCGGTGCCGATAGTGGTTCCCGTTCTACGGCCCCATAGCAGCGCCTCCTTCGTTCTCCTGCCACCACTTGGGTTCCTCAGCCATTCGGCTGATACCATTTTACTCTATTCATTCGCTTAACTAACTAGCGGTTGTTATGGTCGCTGTGATCCGCTCCTTATTGACATTCCTTTATTGACAATTGATTATTCCTCTATTGATATTTGATTTATATGTATATTGACATTCTGATCCGCGTGCCTATATTGTCGGCCTATCCATTCTGCCTCCCAACTTCACCGTCCTCTGTTCCATTCTTTTCTTCTGTTCCATTACCCTGGTCCGCATCGCCCTTTTAGTTCTGTCGTACTTATCATCCCACTCCCGTCCCGCGCCGGACCGACCGGTCCCTTCTCTGTTCTCCTTTCTTATTTATACTTGTAGTTTACTGTCGATGTACCTCAGTTTGAATATCGACTAGAATTTCCCCCCCAGTACTTGCATCCTAAGTTCGCCTCTCAACTTCATCCTCGCTTGGGTCAACGTCGCCGCAAGGTCTTCCCCGCTAACGTGAAATATGGGACAGCCTAGAACGTGTGGCGCAACGCTCTGGCCAAGTCGTTGAAGCCAAAGTCCCAACCCCACGACGCCTTGCAATGGAGTAGTTCATTAGCTAAGTGACCACTCACGCCGCTGCACTCCGCTCCGCTTCCCGCGATCACCTCGAACATAGTTTCTGACACCTCATCATGGAGTGAGGGTGGAGTGGAATAAGGCTGCTTTGGTGGAACACTGTCGTCATTCGAAAGAGACGTTATTCATCTGCACAGCCGAGGATACTATCAAGAACAGACCCCTTCGTCTTTCAGAGAAGTGGGCATGTGCACTTCAGCCAGCATGCAAAGGCGATAAGTGTGATGATGGCAGCAAACTACCGGATATGATCGAAGTCGCACTCGGAGCAAAGGTGATGGTGACAACAAATGTGGACACAGACAGAAATATTGCAAATGGGGCACGTGGTACAATCATCGAGATCATGTTGCATCCAAGTGAGCCAGAGATTGCAGAGGATATAGCGAGAGTGAGGTTGAAGCAGCTGCCAGTATGTGTTCTTGTGAAGCTTGATCATGGGAGTGATAGGAGGGTTGGGGACCTGGAAAAGGGAGTCGTTCCAATTTTTGCAGAGGAGCGCACTTACCGCATCACTTTGAGAGATGGAGCAACATGGAAAGTGAAACGACGACAACTGCCAATGACAGGTGCATATGCATTCACGGATTACAGGGCTCAAGGGCAGACGATCAAGCATGTGATGATAGATCTAGCACCACCACTGACAGGAGGGTTAACACCATTTAATGCATATGTGGCATTATCGTGGAGCTCAGGAAGGGACACAATACGGCTTTTGCGTGAGTTCAACGAGAAATTATTCAGAAAGCCTGCATGTGACGTGCTTGCTGAGGAGGATGAATGGTTGGAACAGAAAAACATAGAGACACAGGCTAGGTGGGAGAAGTTTGTATCAGAATAGGGAAGATTATAGGATTAGTGGGAAGAGAATATACAGACGAAAAAAACAGTTGAGGAAGCAAAGATCGATGTGATCGAAGTCAGGGAAATGAGTACATGTGGGAGATACAAAGGAGGAACGTGACGTTGCTGTGGAAAGGCACATGTGCAAGGGAGAAGAATATAAACATGGTGGGAAAGAGAACACATTATGTAATTGTGGACTCCAAAGTGACCTTGCAAGCAAGGTAATGTTACAAGTGATAACAAGAGTTAAGGCAAAGTAAAAGAGTTAGGAGGGGGCGCATATGCAGCCTCCCATCCTTACACTCTCCTCCCTTGCAATATTAATATCGCACAGGAAGGCATGTACCAAAATGTAGAGACGGTCCAAGAGATTTCAAGAAATTCAAGAGAAACATAAAGGCGATTAGGCCTTGAGGCAACCAGTAGCAGCATTACTGTAAGTTAAAGGTGAAAGGCGGTTGGGCCTTTCAACATCGGTCATCACTGATGAAATTTAAAAAAAAAGGGGGGGTTCAAGGGAAAATGAAGCAAAGCAGTCAGGGTTTCAGGTCAAGCGGTTAGGCTCTTGGGTAAGAATTAATGCAAAGCGATCAGGCTTTTGTGACGAAAGCAGTCAGGCTTTCATTGTGAAGTAAGGTGGTAGGGAAGAAGAAATTTCTAATAATGCCACATGTAGTTAAACCCTTTGTACCGATTATTTCGTCGGTGAAGGAGAATATAAGTGGAGGCGGTCAGGCCTCTTGACAGTAAAGGAAAAGAAAAGAAAAGGAAAGTTTAATGGGGCAGCTAGGCCTTCATAATTTTGATCATTAACGATGATGAAGTCGACATTAATGTAATAAGATAAAGGTGGTTAGGCCTTTTTTTGTTTGCCCTTTCGGGCTGCGCTGCTAGGTCCGGGCATACTAGCCTGCGGATTTGTCAAAGGCCCGGCTCCATCATCCTCAACTGCTGCCATATGCTGGCACTGAGCTGCAGGGAAGCGCTTTGTTGTCAAGGTTGTAGGTGGAACAGCTTCGGTCTGTTCCACAAAACTCGACTCTCCACTCATTGATGTATCCTCGGAGTCGAGGGGAGGAACAGCACTCACCTCTGGAGGAGGTGGCAGAAACCCCTGGACGGGGCGGGATGTAGGCGGCAGTGGTGCAAATTTGCCCACTTGTAAGGTAGGGAGCATACATAAGTAACGACTCTCCGGATGCAAATATTTCAAAACTTGCATCACTTCTTATTCTCGGCGCAATGCTCTGCTGCTCAAATGAGCACCAAAAACCTGTAGGATAGACCTTCCTTAACAAGTCTTTGGATTCGCTTCTTCAATAAATATCATATTGATCAAGTAACGAGTGAATTACATTCTGGTGTCAGGAGACTACTTCTATGAGCATTATTAATCCAAGGGCGCAATAATAAAAATTGAAGTTCCGTCAAGTTTGCCACACTAAACACCATCGAAATGAATGGCGGTAACTGCCGAGAACGAAAAAGGAAATTCTCCCCGTACCCTTTTCCCTCCAAAACTCGGCGGAACGGAGTTCTAAGCATGCCTCTGGGGAAAAAACGCAAGCGCGCAAATAATTTGGGACTGTATGCACAGAAGGTCCTTTTTTCACATTTTTTATTCAACCCGAAACTCACATACTCATGCAGAAATCATGCACACATAAACAGACTAAACCATCATCACCAACTATGGACATGACTACCAGTGATGCCGATGTTCCCTCTGATACAGAGAACTTTGATTTGGCACTGGAGAGCGAGTCTGATTCCGATTTCAGTGAAATTGATGAGCATGAACCAGACACATACCCCAATATTCCGCCAATCCCTCCCCTTTGGGAGCGGCTGTCTGAATCGCAGAAAGCCCTCTCAGCACTGATCAACCAGCGGGGCGCAATCCCCGGAAACAAAGTTCACTACCCTGGAAACACAATTAATGGAATTCAGGCAGAGCGTACACAGCGGCATCATGCAGCCAAGTGGAGAGCTACCAGGGGAAAATTGCAGGAGATGAGCAACAA